TCACATAAAAAATACGTCGTCTATTGACACTGAAGTTATGAAGTAACTTTTTCGAAATCGTTTAGATTATCGATGGGTATTGCTTAATGTGGTAGGGCCACGCACCAGACTTTCGAACGGACAAACTGGCCCGGGAAAGTAAGTACCACGAACTTGCAAAAGGCCGGCGTGAAGTGGGAGTATTGTACTTCTGCGTTTCGACTGGCAACTGAGGTAGCCGGGGCCCTCTGTTTTAAAAAGCAACGAACTCGGAAACCCCACGGCTGTTTCAGATTTTAACGGGCGGCGATTACTTTACATAATTTAACAGTGGTATTTTTTTTTAATGTGAAAAGTTGTCAAACGAGCAGACGGTTCACCTGATTTTAAGTGAATACCGCCGCCCATGGACATCTGCCACACCCGAGGGTTACAGATGCGTTGACAACCTTTTGAAAATTGGGCTCCGGCTACCTCACTCACCAAACCACCACCATGGTAGGGTTACGCAGCAGCCTTGGCTGTTGCACGAATGGGCAGGCTCGTCCAGGTAAGTACCACGACCTCACAGAAGATCGGCGCAAAGTGGAAGTATAATACTTTCGCGTTTCGTCTGGTGAGTGAGGAGCCCAATTTTCAAAAGGTTGTCAACGCATCTGCAACCCTCAGGTGCAGGTGTAGCGGATGTCCATGGGCGGCGGTATTTACTTAACATCAGGTGAACCGTCTGCTCGTTTGGCAACTTTCCACATAAAAAAATCAGGTTAACCGCCAGCTCGCTTGTCATCATTTTACATAAAAAAATCATCCAATTACATTTATGTTGTGCAAGTAGTATTTACCCTCCAAATGATTCAATATGGCAAGATTTAAAAAAACTGTTCAATGACCGAAATTTTAACAAATTAAAAAAAAACACATTGTTCATTATTGCGGTGCATAGCAAACTAAATAAATACTTTTTGATTTAATAAACGTATCGAACAAAACCATCGCAAAAGTAACTTCAGTCAATCTTTCTTATCAACAGAGAAAGATTCGGGTGCGTGTAACAATTGAGAAAAGTTTCGCCGAGATCCGACTAATCTATAATAACATAATAAATGTTTTGGGAAAAACAGGGACTACCGTTCACAAGAAGTCAGTGTACGATAACATATTTGAAGCGTTTGTTTTGTTCAACCCCCTATATTCACAATAGGTTCAGAACCAAGCTAGTATAGGTAACGCAGTAGTTAGCATAGCATTTTTATACACGTCGATTAGAAATTTGACGTTTGATTTAACGCATGGCACGTCGCTCGTCGGAAGCACGCACTTCGCCGCGTTCATTTCGCGCAAATCTCTGTCGGATCTCAAACGCGGATAGATCAAAGTTGATCTCTAAACATCGCGTCGACACTCGCCGCGGCAATGTTAATAACGGGAGTTCAAAGAGCGCGGAAACTTCGATATTACGTCCATCAGCTGCGTATCATCTTTTCTAATGAAAGCAAGTAAAGTAGCCAGCGAGCGTCGCCTTAAAACTGTCCGTTGGGTGGTTGACTTTCGACCCTGGGTGGGAGTACCCCGGCTACCTCAGTGACTAGAGGAAACGGTTAGATTTTTACCAGTTTTGTTGTAGAGCATAACAACAGGCTTCGCTGGTGCACGAACCACCCCACTCAAGATCGGTGTGAAGTGGACGAGTTATACTTCTATTGTTGGTGGAAAGCACTTTACTAAAACATCACTTAACATCAGAAAACCATCACCACGCTTGTCACATTCTCACGTAAAAAATGAACGGCTCATGCTATTGGCGATAGTGTTCCGGCGGGTTACACAAATGTGATTACACGGATTCAAATATAAGAAGACTAGCGACCCGCCCCGGTTTCGCACGGGTGCAATGTATTATACATATAAGCCTTCCTCTTGAATCACTCTATCTAGTAAAAACAACCGGATCAAGATCCGTTGCTTAGTTTTAATGATCTAAGCATACAAAGGGACAGACAGACAGGGACGACTTTGTTTTATACTATGTAGTGATATAATTAGATAGTTTATTTTTTTAATGTGAAAATTTGGCAAAGCACGAGGCGGTTCTTGGTGTTAAGTATAATTATAATTACCGCTATTTATGGACATCAACAAAACCTGACCAGCCACAGCAACAGACGAAATGCAAAGGTAGAAATACTTAGGTAGCACTAAGTATTATTAGGTAGTACTAAATACTTTTATATTTTTTGGTAGAAAGGTAGTAGAAATACTGCTACGCCGAACTTTGGTGTCGTATTTCCTTGGTTTAACAGGCTACTTTGATATATTTATAAATTATACACACAATGTGACTATACATTGTGTGTATAATTTATAAATGTTATCCCTCGGCTGTATGCGAGTAGATGATTTTTGCATTTATGATTTAGAATGTTGCACAATGTTATCATCGCACTGGGAAATGAGGTAAATTTGTTCAAGGGGAGGAAATATTTACAATGGGCATGAATCACTGATTTCACATACTCCGAAACTCTAATTATAAATAGTGTTGCGCTTTAAATAGAAAGAATGTTTCAGCTCTCAAATTCTCTCGGAATTCATTAAAATGAGTAAGCACAACGTTGCTTTCAGTAATATTTCTTTAAAAATTACGGTGAGTTCCTTTAAAAATTGTTTTAGTCATTTATTTGTTGAACAGTGACCGAAAACGAGACGAGACAGATATTAAAAGATAAATGAATTGAAAAAATAGAATGTGTAATTGGAAGAGGGGATTTGTAGGCTAATTTTGTGCAAGAAAATCATTACTTTAGTAATATATTATGCATAATAACATTTTACGTATACCTTTTTTGAGGAGTGGCAAACAAGCTGGCGGGTTAACTGATGTTAAGTGATAGCCACCGCCCATCGACACTTGCAACACCCGTAGGGTTGCAGATTCTTTGCCACAACAACAAAGTGGGCCAAAGTGTTTTTAACAAAGTGGGCCGCAGCTACCTCACTCACCAGACGAAACGCAGAAGTGTAACACTTCTACTTTAGGTTTTCTGTCAGGTCGTGGTACTTACCCGGACGGACCTGCCTATTCGAGCAACAGTGAACACTGTTGCGAGGCCTACCACTAAAACCTCATGACGATCTTTTAATTATTGATTTTAAATAACTTTATAACACATAACAAAACGTGTACAGCAGTATTTAGAAACAGATTAATACATTTAAAATAGTATTCAAAAGATTGAGTCTTTCGTACATTGTTACGTTTTACCTACAACAAACGAAACTTCAAACAATAAAACTGTTTCAATGTGAATTAAACGGAAAACATTCTTCCTCCAAAGTTAATCGTATCGATTTGGTCGTAATAAAACGCATGTTAAAAGTACAATAAAAAAGCGGAGTAGTGAGCCAGTGGTTTCTCTTTGTAGTGGCAACATTTGTTTGCGGTTTTAAAGCTTTTAAAATGTTTACTCTGCATGTCATAAACGACGCTTGGGAATGATTTAGCCCCACATCATTCCGACCAAACTTGGGTGTTGCTGTGTTGAGTAAAGTTCGTAAATTGTTTCTGTCTAGTGCTCCGTTTCTTGGTTTCAAATACAGGATTTCTTTTTAAAAATAATAATCAATTACATTCACTGAGTGATAAGGTTTATATCTACATTGTCAGAATTAACTGGTGGACAGTTGAAATGAAAGAAATTGTTTTGGTAATGTATAGGGATATGTTAACATAGATAAAATAAACAGAGAATTCTAAAAAAATAGATGGAATAGATACTTTGGGGTAAGGCTACAACATTTTTGAATAGAACGTTGTAACATGTGACAACTTAATTTGTCTTAAAATTATTAGTTCGCAAATGTTTTTGGTTTGAAATAATAACGTTATAATAACTTAAATATTATGGTATTGGTTGAACTAATAACAATTATAGTGATTTAATTCCATTAATTTCGAATAGAACTCTGAGTACTATGTATTAGGGTTCCGTACCCAAAGGGTAAAACGGGACCCTAATTCTAAGACGCCGTTGTCTGTCTGTCCCGTCTGTCACCAGGCTGTATCTCATGAAGAGCGATTTTTAGACCGTATTTCTGTTACCGCTAAAACAAAAAATACTAATAAATAGAATAACAAAATATTTAAATAATTTAACATCTATATAAATGTAATAAAAATTAATTTTTTTGCCGTTTTTGTAGATAATGGTACGGAAACCTTTGTGCGAGAGTTCGACTAGTCTTTGGCCGCTTTTATTAAATTTCTAAGGGCATCGCATAGGAAGCGAAGTTTTCATGATTTACCAAATAATAATCGTATGACGATAAGGGACAAAAATATAAAAAGAAAGTATATTTTATAGTTATTTTCTATAAGTGACAAAGACAAACTTGGGTCATTATAAAAAACCATAACTTTATCCTCATGTTATATAACATGTAAAATTTACCCTACCTTTATCTTCATCTAAGGATTAGCACATTGTTAAAAAAGTTAAAATTATTGTTAAAAAATAAAGCAACAAATTAAAACAATTTATCATTAGACCATCATTTTTGTATCATTTCAATAATAAAACATTTTAGTAATAATTAAATAATATCACGAGTTCAAACTACTTCCATTTCCAATACAGCGCAAGGACAGTATTTGCAAGTGTGCGGTATTAATTAAGAAAACGGATGGTTTTCAACGAGCGTGTCGCTCTAGAGTTGGTAAACTATTTGATCTGTATATTTATGTAGACAACAAACAAAAAAAATTGTCTTTTCACTAGCATTACAATGAAAAAGTTTAAAATGATAAAACGATTTTTTGAGATCGAAGAAAATCCACAACGAAACGTGGCCGGCTTTTCAGCCAGTTGCAATTATCTAACACTAAAATAACAAGGATTGGTTATGTAAGTGTCGAAAGCATTATTTGTTGTATTTGAAATAATGTATGCATCAATTATTACAAATATATGTTGTTTTGATTTTTTTATCGTTTAATTCTTTATTTAAGATTTGTTTGTTTTTGAATGGATACATTTAAAGACATAGGAATACGTAAGCGGAATAGTTTTGTACGCTCTCAACAGATGGCGTTAGTAGTCACGTTGGCAGACTACGAGTAGCTCTGTAATAAATCACGTGCAACAGGACTGCGCACTCGACCGTTGAAGATATGTTGTTCGTAGCTCTTTTAACAACTCTTTGTTCTAATTTTGGAATAGTCTTAATTATTTTTATTACTTTATCAATGTAAACCGATATAATATGATTAAAATTTTTTTTTAATGATCTCGATTTTTGTTACTTATTTGATTTTTATTTAGTCTGTTTAGACCGTTTACTTCTTTATTTTGTTTGAGATCTTTCTATTACAAGTCAAAAACAATGAAATTGAATAGATTATGTAGAGTATCGAAAAGTAGATCGATGGTCATGATGACAAAAGAGTCGATCGCGATATTAGAGGAACGTCGTCTTATAAATTGATATTTTTTTTCAATATTTTAAAATTTTCCTTTATATCGATGTTTTATACAAAGAAAACATTGAATGGAAATAAGTCATAATTTCAAATATCGGATTTAGCGTAAGCCCCGAGATTTTATTGAATAAAGTATAATCTTATTACATTATTCTAAAATTTCTTCAGTTCTATTTCATTTATCCTCAATAAAAACATTATAGCTATACCTAATATCTATCTCTAGCTATACCTAGTATTTTTGTTATCCTTAGCTACATTATTTAACTTATATATACACACACATAATTATTAAACTTAGCTTACTTATTTAAATAACATTACTTCAGGGAGATTGTCATTTCCTACTTAATTAATTAGACTGTTTCGTGTTTTATAGGAAGGATCAGACAGCAACATATAGGTGTAATATCCCCAAATATACCCCAATATACCCCAAAGCCTGTTCCGCTTTTGTTTTCGTTAAATGAACCTTATCTTATTAGTGTATATATTTACAGAAATTCTAATTATATCCTCGGTACAAAATGTACGAATATAATAATTTGCATATTATTACATCCATTAAAATAAGAAGTGCGTAGCGGCATGAATATATTTTCCGCGAATAAACTCGAATCACTACTAGAGCGCTGTTATCGTCAACTTCTTATGTTTTTCTCTCAACAAGCACGCGTGTGCAGCGTTTTAAATTGTGGACTATAAGATAGCAAGCTGAAAATAGATGTGTTCTTTTTTAAACGTCACGTTTAGCCTGATCTGGCCACACGTCGTACTTAAGTCGGCCCCTACTGCACGTCGGAGGCAGTGGCCGCTCGGTGCGAACGGCGCCTAGTTCGGTTGCGTAACACCGCTCCGGGTCTCGTGTTTACGGCGGCCGTTCGGCGGGCCGGTGTCGCTTGTCCCCACTGCGCATCGATCCGCTCCGCCCAGCACTCGCTCCTCCCACCCGGTGTGCCCCCCTCCGCCCCTCGCCCGCGACCCCCTCCCCTCGACACCCCCGCCTCCCCCCACCCGCCCCCCAAGCGCCCGGCGGCCTTTGTCGCGCGCCGCCCGCGCGGTCACCTGTGTCGCACGTCCTCAGTCGCAAGGCGGCCGCGTCGCGCGCCACCCGCTCCGCACCGCACCGCACTGTACCGCTACTATGACAGCGACGTGATGGAGGGCAAGGATTTCGGCGCGCTCCCCGGCCTCGAGTACTTCGCGATGCCGCGCGCCAGCCGGCCGCACTTCGACTTCAGGAAGCTCGGCGCCAGCTTCAGCGAGGAGCGCGACGGGCAGCGCTCGCCCGAGTACCACGAGCGGCGCGAGACGCCCGCGCCCTGGCCCCTCGGCCTCGGCGTCCAGTTCGTCAACCCAGCTACCGGCAAGAAGCGAGTGCAGTGCAACGTCTGCCTGAAGACCTTCTGCGATAAGGGCGCCCTGAAAATCCACTTCTCGGCCGTGCACCTGCGCGAGATGCACAAATGCACGGTGGAGGGGTGCACGATGATGTTCAGCTCGCGCCGCTCGCGCAACAGGCACAGCGCCAACCCCAATCCGAAGCTGCACTCGCCGCACGTGAGGCGCAAGATCTCGGCGCACGATGGCAGGTCCGCGCAGCCGTTCCCGCTGCTGCCGGCGCTTGCGAGACTGCCTTTACCGCCGCCCGCGCTTCTGCCACCCGAGCTGGCGGCCAGGCTGCCACCGCCCCTCGCGGTGCCGCCAGGACCCGCCGCATTGCCCCCCCGTGTACCCCTGGACGACCTGCGCAACTTCAGCGAAATTGAAAAGATGTATAGGAAGATACCGTCCCCGGAGGAGCCAACGCGACATATGTTTAACGTTCTCAACCCCGCGGATGGCGATGAAGGTAACAGACACAGTGATACTACCGAAGAAAATTCCAATAACAACCGCGACAAAGAGGACAAGCCCAAACTTGAGTCGTCGCTAACGGACAGGTTAAATTACGACGACGAACCCGAGGACTTGAGTGTTAACAGAAGGCGGGAAGAAGTGGAAATTAATGACGCGCAGTCGGAATCGATTAGCCGCACCGAGCCCACCGTCGTCGACGACAAAACGTCGCTCGTCCCGAACAAACGCAAGAGGAAAAGTGGCAACCCGACCAGGTGCTCACAGAGCAACGAGTACAGTGCCTCCGACGAGGAGTTTAATAGTGAGCTTTTCAGGAACATCTCTACGCCGGGCTCGAGCCGTGCGGAGGAGGAGCCGCTGTCGCTGAAAAAGCAGAAGCCCGAGAAGTGGGAGCCATTTCAGGGCGGCGAGGAGGCTGCTGTGGACTCGGAGGCGGTGACGAGGGTGAAGGCCGAGAGCGAGTCGGACGACGAGTCCAGTGCGCCGAGCGTGGTCCGCGAGGGTCTCAGGTTGCGCTCCGATTTGTACACGCCCAGCGACAGCGGCAGCGACCTGCACGCAATGGAGGAGCGCATCGCCAGAGCGCGCTCGCCGTCCGCCAGCAGCGAGCACACCGACGAGCGGACGGACATGAACGACCTCGAGATCCCCATCGATGATGAGAACCCCGACCGCTGCACGGCGTGCGGCAGGACATTTCAGAACCACTTCACGCTGCGCATGCACTACAGGGCCGAGCACCTGAAGCTGCTGCACCCGTGCGAGGTCAGCGGCTGCGACGCGGCGTTCCCCTCGAGGAGGAGCAGGGACCGGCACAGCTCGAACCTCGACCTCCACCGGCGGCTGCTCTCCACCGGTCCACGCGAGCGGCCCGCGTTCGAAGTCAACGCGGAGCTGCTTAACAAGCTGTACGCAGACATAAAGGGGCTCGCGTCAACGCTGGAGAGCCTGAGGTACGGCGACGAGGCGCAGCTGCCGAGCTACGTGAGCGAGACGATGAAGTTCTACAGCAGGAACCTGAGCGCGCTGCAGGCGGGGCTGTTCCCGCTGGGCGAGCGGGGCTTCCTGCCCGCCCCCTTCCTAATGGGCAACATGCCGCAGGGTAGCCTGTACGGAGCCGCCGCGGGGGCCCAGTCTGCGCGGGAGTCATTATCCCCGCTGTCGGCTTCGTCGCCGCCGGTCATATCGCCGGGGCGTCTGGACGCGGCACACGCGCGGCCCCGCGACGACGCCCAGCTGCTTTTTCGGGAGACCGCAGAGTCCTACAAGAAGATGACCTCCCTCTGCGAGCGCCAGGAGCAACTGTACCAGCACCACGTGCCCGTGTCATGACGCAGCCGGCAGCCATCGCGCCCGACCTGGTGACACCGCACTCCACGCGACCGCTCGCGCGCGACGGACTATGTATAATAATTTAAATTGTTAATAATTTTAATCGTGTTAATTCTATCTCGGTAATCATTACGTTTTGTATTTCCCCTTGTGATATTTAGACAAATATATCGTAATCGGACGCTAGCCAGTTGGTTTCCGGCCAGCGGGCCGTTTGTGAAGCTGAGTGCAATACGGACTTGGGATATTATAAAATTTAATGGACACAGCGGCCGTACGATATCGTGTAGAGTATTCGTAATCGATGTTGAAAGTAAGCGTTATAATGGTCGGCTTCATTAATGTTCTGACGCAATAAAATCATTGAGGAAAAAAACGCAGTATTGTTTTTTATTTACGACGCCAGCGGTAAGTCGCGCCGAATAGTGGCATAACCCATCCGTAGCTTAATAACGCTGCTAACAATAACATAGGGTCCCGTGGGGGCCCGTTCAAGTGGAGCGCGCATCTGCCTTTGTTTTTTATGACAACTCAATGCTTTACGCTCTGCGACATCTTCAGTTATTCCTACAGCGACACTTCCAGTGGATATATAATTAACGAAATTTTATTAAATAGCCCAATAAAAATCACCGAATAATAGCGCCAATTAATTTTCAACGGCTACTAATAGTATCGATCTAAAAAAAAAAAAAAGAAATACTAAAATGATAAAGTGATTTGGATTCCTCGTAACTCAATGCCGCACAGTGGCAAGATTCGAACCTACTTAAAATCTCTAACGAATGTTAATGTCACATCAATTACAAAATGGTCAGCCGTAATCGGCGGACGGATTCAATTAAAAACTATGAATTTAGAATGAGACTCATCGTTCTCTTGTATGTTGCCGTGGCAATAAAATATGATGTTTTCATTTCCATAATTATTTAGTGATTATTAAACAGTCTCGTATTTATAAAATACAACGTTAACAAGAATTATCACGCGTTACCGTAGTCTGTTTTATACTTGTAAAAGTTTAATTGATATAGGTTATTTTTAATGGCCAGCTTCTGCCAATTTATTGTGAAATATATATATCGAGAAAAACTGTCGTATTTAGATTTCTACATACTCTATTTATTCCATTAATATTAACAATTAGTGGATGTATAAAATAATACGAACACTAAATTTGAACAGTTGAACACTTTTTAATTCTTCTATTTTTACAATAGATTATATTTTGATATTTGAATACATTGATAACAAACGGTCACCTGTTAGAAAAATCTTTGAGGAAATTCTCTTTTTTTTCTATTTTATTTAAACTCTGATAGTACAATAAAAAGCAAACCAAGATAAGGTTCACATGTATATTTAATAGAACTAATAATTAACAGTTCAAGTTTACTCAAAGCGTAAAAGTTCAATTAAAAACTTTGTGTTGACGCAGGTACGCGCCAAATCGTATATTTTAAAAAAAAACTTTAATCCGAAACAAAAGTCCGGCGAACTTAGAGCCGCCCACTGCGCCGTGAGAACTTAACTAATTGCGGACCGAGACCTGTTATGATTTAATAATAGGGCGACGTACAGAACGCTAATTCGTATTTCCCAGTCCGAGGTCACATAAAAAACTGCCGCCATTATGGACCCATCAAATTTTAGTCGCACTTATCATACGCCATTTTGTTTCACAAACTTAATAACACGCTGTTAGATTTGACATAGCGCCTTGGAGGATTCAAAAAGTCATTTGTTTTACGACCGTTGCGGCGACGCCGGTACGCTGGGCGTTTGTAACAATTTTAATATTCGGATCATTAATCAGAGCCGTTTGTGTATGCCACACTGCATTGATACGAATTCTGTACGTCTTAAATTAGTCGATTAAAATTCAAAATCGACACATCGATTACGAATTTTGTTTACATGTAATAAGTAATGTATGAAAATACAAAATCAATTTCAAGAAAGTTTAACCAATAAGTTCATTCCTCAATTATTCTGGCTACGTAAATTTCGTTTAATTAGTCGTTTAACCCTCAATACATAAAAAATGTACAGACGTATTGAATGTTACTACAACCTAAATTATATAATTATTTCGCTTATGCTAAAACATAAATGCAAAACACTGAACGCTTTAGTGAACAAAACTGGGAAAAGATGACGTTTAAAATGATGGATTCCTCTTCTAAATAAATCATAAACATCGAAAACAATTAAGTCCAAAAGTAAAATTAAGTAAAATTAGTAATTATAGTCACTTAATAAAAGCACTAAAATCAGCTTCCTATTCATTAACACTCATAATCTAAAACTCATTCCAGACGTTTCTTAACTTTTCATTGAGCCCGGACCGCGAAAAATACTGACAGATTAAAATTTAAATATCTATAATAAACACTATGAAACGCACGAAATATATTCATTAAGCAAATGTAGTCCCTTTCATATCTTCTTACAATAATTATCAGAAACCGCATAATAGGATAAAGGGGATGGCTAATTGTGATTTTGAGCGGTGCCTCCGAGACACAGACATCGCCCGGGGTCAGAGCAAACTCAGTTTGTGTATTCACGTCTCGGTAGCGTTTAGTTTATTAATTAGGGTTTGACAAACTATGCGGCGGGGCCCTTTGCCCTCAGACCCCGGCTGTCGGGGCATTTGATATGCCGCGTGGTTCCGATTTACGTAGCACCGTCTTTATTGCTATCCTCAAGACGTTACCCGTGTTTGTGTTGACAAACTTTGTGTTTAACTGATATGGGAAACGTCCGTGCACGTAAATAATTATTGGGGTCTGTTAGGGGGATCCGTAATGAATATCTCAGTTAAAATTTGAGAGTAAGCTCTGATTAGGCTATTACGAACTGGAAAAGGTTTATTAATTTTCAATTTCAGAGAGACTTGTGCAGTTTTTCGAAATACTTTAGTTTTATTTTATATTTGTTTTGTTCGAAAACATCCTAATTTGATTATTAGTTACGTTATTCGAGGGTTTAATTTGTTTGTTGGCATATAATTTTGAGTCATGAAACGCTACATCACTCCTTAAAACAAAACAGGCGCTGTAGTTAATAAAATTTACTTTTTGTAGAGTAATTAAGAAAACGGCCGAAAGATGATATTTCTTACAATAATTGCGACCATCAGAATGTCTAATGTGATATGACATGATTTTATGGAAATTTGTCTTTTACCACATGAGTAGTTGAAGGTTAAATATTTAATGAAAGCTTCTTATTATTGCTTGAGTCCCAAGCTTTTATAATTTATACTCTTCCTAAGTTGACTATTGTTTTATTACCTTTACAAAATTTATTGAAACTTGTTAAACTATTAATGAGCATTAATCCCATTAAATTATTTTAATAAGCAATAAATTATTCGAGTATAACTCTCCTTTACGTGTCCCCTTTGTTTTGAGCATACATAATGTCTTTAATTAATGTTTGACAAAGTATACAAAGACCGAAAAGCCTCGGGGCTGAAGATGTTAAGACGCCTTTGACTTATCTGTTGACGATATGAAAAATTACAACATGAAATTAATATTAAAGGTGATTTAGTTGTTCGTATTTTATAAATGCAGTAAACGAAATACATTTCTCTGTCTGGCCAGATGTACGAAGAAAAAACAATAATTGAAATCGAAATGTTCTATTGTTGTAAGCTTTCAAATTGACTGACAGATTATGAGATGGGATTAAAATATCAGAAGTACCAGTGGTAGTATACATTTATGAAACAAATTTAAACAAACAATCCTAAGAAATATAGTATACCATTTTAGCGGAAAAGTTTAGATTACTTAATAACGAATTGTAGAATACACTTCTTGTCAATGTATCTCCCATATCATCTTTGTAATAGTTCAAATAATCTTTTTTCTTTTTTCTTTTTTTAAAAACATTGCCCTCACTTTAGGATAACATTATCCTGTGTTGTAAGGACGTTTTACAAACATAAATTGCACGAGGACAAACACCCAGATGCGAAACAACTATCTGTGGGTCGCACAAATAGTTGTCCCGTGTGGGAATCGAACCCACGACCCCCGACGCCGAAGCCAATACCTTGGCAACGGCGCCACGGAGTCATCAATGTTGAATTTATCCGAAACATTTAATAATGTTAATAGGAATAGAATCTGATAGATACGTCATTTATAAGGATTTTGTAAAGGTTTGTTTTATTACGTGTCAGTATAAACTACCTTTTCTTGAATCACTTCTAGTAGGAGTGTATTTGGTGTTATATAAAGTGAATTAACTTAATCGCCGCGTTTTGCTTATATTCTAACCATCACAGTGCTTTATGTCTAACGTATTAATAGATCATCATTAAAAACTATATAATGAGAACTGAAATAGCAAGTATTATACTGTCAAAATGCGTAGGTTGTCTTTTTGATCCTGCAACGCTACTCGCAAGTGAATATAATACGGTTTTGTGTTTTGACGCTATTGCTGAACAGATTTGAATGAAATTTGGAAAGGCAATCAGCATGTAGACTACTGATAACCGGGTAAATTTTCATTATTTTCAACCGACTTAAAAAACGGAGGAGGCTCTCAATTCGCCTGTATTTTTTTTTTGTTAGGTTATGTTTGTTACGTCATAACTTTCAACTGTGTAAACCGATTTTGTTGATTTCAAATAAAAAAAAAGGTTAATACGGAAAAAATTAATATGGGACCACAGGGTAATGTGGTCCCATATTAATTTGTTTTTCTTTATTAAAAAATAGACTTGTATTGGCAAATGGTTCGGAAGCCGGGGTTAGGGCTAGATTAAACTTGACCTAAGCACTTAGACATTTACTTAGTTAAGTATAAATCTAAGTGCAATGGGTGCAAAAGGGGAATGTAACTTAAGACCGATTCTGCACTTCGTTGGCGCGCGAGTCAACAGCGGCCCCGGGCTTCCTTTAATCTCTCTTGTCTCTTGCAAACTCTTACAGGCGGCGCAAACTCGACTCCAAAGTGAGAATAGCTAATGACTC